AAAAAAATACCTTTAATATTATGAACTTTCTCTTAATTAAAAATTTTGTTTTATAAATTATAAAACAATAATTTTTTTTTATTTACACAAACATAGCACATCCCAACAAAATAATGTAGGCCCTATTTGGTGAAGATGTTGGAAAACAAGCAGACCATCCAGCTAATGAAACCAAATGCACTCATAAATACATAACTCGTGTTTGTCTTTTTCCTTTTTAGTTTTTATAAATTTATTTTTGACGGACCGACCAAGTTGTTCAAACTTTAAACTTGTGAGAGGAGGCTGGGAAAAGGAAGATATGGCTTTCCTCCCAAGCCTCAAGTCTAAACAAACTTTATAGGGACCCCAAAAAATGACGATAATGCATTTATACCTTCTCAATTGTTAGGGAGTAAAAGAGCTTTCCAAGTATCCACTCCATCAGATTGATAGTGGAAAAGGCTGTATTCATTATTCTGGCTCGGGAGTCTGGAATGAAGCCTAGGAAATGGTGGAAATCAAGCCAGAGAACATTGATTTAACCATAAGACTCTTCCCTTTTTTTGTGACTTAAGACTTGAAACACACCCCCATTGTTCAATCAACACATGAAATGCAGAAACCCATAGAAAAGCAATTAAAAATCTGAGTTTCAATTTCCAAGTACTGCTCGGCAAAAGAAAAGAAGAAGAAAAAAAAACACCAAGTACAGTTGGTAGTGACAAAAGAGTCATGACACTCAACACCTTGAGCAAGACAGAAATAAGGTTCTGCATTCAGAGAAAGAAAAACTACAAAAGTACAAACCCCTCCAAATCTAAGAGTCTAATCTAATCCGATGAGGGCTTAGCAACGCAACAAGGTCAGTAAAAAACTGCATCATGAAAGCAAATAAATGGCAGGAAACCCTACCGACCAACAAATCCTACCAAATAATACCGACCTTGATGGTCAGTCTATGGGCTGATCAACCTCTGCAATTGGGGTTTCAAGGATGGCTTGCTCTTTCTCAGCTTCTTCCACCTCCTTCTCAGTCTTCCTTCCTTTCTTTGACTTGTAGTACACACTCATGAAGGTTCCCACAGCTCCATATTTCCTCCGGCACTTCTCATAGAGACCAGCATCAAACATCCTCCAGAAATTCTTCTCACTCAGCTCAGACACAGCATATTGTGGTTGGAATCCATGGTTTTCAATCAACCAGCTCTCCATCTGACGAACTGCCTCTGCACCATCAAACACCTCACCCCTCAAGACAGGGCCTGGAGAATAGTACACTCCAATATCTGTATACATCTGAGCATAGTGGGTGTCACCCTGTCTGTGATGATGCTCAAAGCCTGGCTCAGGATACACCATGGTCTTGATAGGAAGCTTGAACAGCCTGTGCGGACAAAGCCAAATAGGATAAACCTGAAGAATTAACCATAAACACTGTTAGAATTTTGACCTTTAAATCCATATAGATCCTAATGGAATATTGGAGATTCTACAAGCTATGGCAAAGACAACATTTCCACGCTAGCTCCTCTTACATGTGCACCCCTCTGAACCACGCAGACATACAATCAAATAATTGTTCTAACTCTGCTATCCTGATCACGTTATATGCAATGTTCCTTTTCCCCTTTTCACCAAAGGTCATCGTCATTCCCAAAAACCAAACCAGTCCCACCCTGAATAGAGATATAAATTTTGTTGAGGGACTGGGGCAAACTCCTACACCTATAACTTTTGACAAGGTAAAGCACTAATTTTAATCATGTCCTCTACAAAAACCACCTTTCTCTAATCCCCAAACCTCTCTCCAAAACTGTAAGACATAGAGAGGTTTGTTGCACTCATTTATCATTTAAACCATCAGTAGAAATAGATGGCAAAAAAAAAAAAAAGAAAAAAAGTTGGGAACCATTAGTAGAGGTGGATGGTATTAATAATAGAAACAAGAATAAATGGGAAAACAGACAAAGAAGAAACCAAGTTTGACAGAAAACCAGGTTACCTCCATCTCCCGGTGGACCCACTCTAAGGCATCCCCAACCTTGTAAAGAGGAACGAGCATGTCCTGAATAACATGCATCTCATGGTAATAGTTTCTGATAGCTTCACCTTGAGTAGCCTTGAGCAAGGAAACCTTGGGAGGCATCAGCCAGCCAAAGAGAAACCTAAACCACCATTGATCTGCAAAGGGAAGGATGAGCTTCCCCTCCCAGTACAAACATCTTGTGTGCCTGTGGTAGTACTCCCTGGTTGGAATGTACTCAACAAACTCTCCCTTCTCTAGTGCTTTATGTGCATGCTGGTAGAACCAGGGTTTAAACCACCAACCAACTTCATTAATAACATTTCCCCTCCGCTTGGCCTCTTCTTTAGAAGCATATCTCCCAGTCATGAACACGCCTTCCGTAGCTGAGTAAATCATGCCTTCAACAAAATCCGGAACCTTCTCTGGATTATCCTGATCTCCATCTCTAGGTGTAAAAGAGTCCATATAAGCCTGTGCCAGCTGTTTTAGATTACCCTTTACAGGCTTGTAGGTCAACTTCATGTATTCTTTGATTGGTATAAGTTTGATCTCAGCTGCAACAAGGAGCCCGAGTGTTCCTTGAGACCATGGGATGGCATAAAAGAGATCAGAATATTGATTGTCCTTGGTAGCTCTGATGAGTTTGCCATCGGCCATAATGATTTCATAAGCCACCACGGTATCAGAAAATAAACCATATATGTGGGAACTTCCTTCAATCCCATAGCCATTGATAAGTCCACCAACAGTAAGATCATCAAGCTCTGCAACCACTGCAAGTGCAAGATTCATTGGGACACTGGCCCTAGAAATCTGGCCCATGTTAACTAGTGGCTCAACCCTGGCAATCATTCTCTCTTTATCAATTTGAAGGATGTTACGAAAAGCAGATAAGTCAACTTCAAAATGACGAGCCCTCTTATAATCTACATTTCGCATTCCAACAGCAATCCATGGTTTACGGGCTGTGCAGACAAGACCATCCTTTGATGGGTTCCTCTCTTTGAGGCGCTTCACCACTTTTTGAACATTTTCATCATGTTCCTTCTGACGCTTCTTGTAGGACTTCATCTCAGATCTCACATCTCCAAGATAGGTAAGGAAATAAAGGCTGAAAGAGATAGGAAGAACGACAAAAATAACAAGTATCCATCGGAAGTGGACCAGAAAATCCACCAAGCCCTTCTTCCTCTTTGGGCGCGGTGGGTTCAATGGGACTTCAAGACCCGACATTGCCACAGGTGAAGATGCTTGATTTACTGTAACAAAATTGATAAAAATGTTGAGTTGGTAAGGATTGTTTTAATAGAAATCTACATTTAAAGATACCCAAACTTTGCCAAAAATCTAAATAATTCAATAATTATCTCCTTTCATCGAAAATAAAAGATCCTAAATTCAAATCGTATAACATACAAATGAGATGAGATAAAAAATGGAGATAATTGTTTTCTATTGTGCAACCAAGTTCAAAAAAACAAAAAAATACCCAAACTTTGATAGACCACATCATCTCAGAACAAATGAGACAAATATAACTAATAAACATGTTTAGGTTTTATGTATGCTACTCATTGATTTATAAGGGTAGCCAAAATGCAGGATTTATATACCTAGAGCCCAACGTTAATCATGTCTACAAGGATAAGGCACAATCCCATCTTGGATACTGGCAAGCACCCAAAACTACGTTTTTGGGCAAACATTTGTCATGACTGAATTTCAGATATTATTGATGAGTGCTAATAAATCAAATGTCGAAACCAAAGGACCTCAATTGAAGCATACCAACGGATGGACAAAAATCCCTACTCAATTCAAGATACAAGTTTAAACCCAACGTTAAGCGGTCAAACTTATTCTAATATTCTAAATTTTCAATTGAGCTCCTGATATTTTGTTAAAACAAATAAGCTCTTGAACTTTGCAATTTAAATAATTTAACTATTGTCTTTATAATGGACTTAATACTCATTACTCATTTTGTCTCATTTGTGTGGATAATGTACTAACATGTCATTACTTACATACATGGTGGGTATTGACTTTATCGCACAAATAAACACAAATGAGTGCTAAGTCCGTTATAAATAAAAGGATTAAATTGTTCAAATCAACACATTTAAATGCTTATTTAACTTAATAAACGTTTAAAAACTTAGTTGAGAATTTAAGATAAATTTAAAAGTTTAACATAAGATTTTGCAAAAAATACAATAGATGAGTTGAGAAATAGTGGACAAGATTTGACGTTATACGGGACAGCTGGAAAACACTACCATCTTTGATTTAAGAAGGGACAAAAAAAAAAAAAACAAGAAGAAAGAAAGAAAGAAAGAAAAGGGGTGCTCTGTGCACGCCCCATGGGAAAGAGAATGCTAGAATCCTATTGTCCTGCAAAATGTTTAGACAGAATAAAATAAAATTTCACCAAGACCAGCTATAAAATAAGCTTCAGCAAGCCGATCATGCAGCAATATCAAATCTTTCAAGGAAAATGGCAAGATAAATCTTTTAAAAGTATTACCCAAGCTGGAACAACAGTGGAGAAATTGAAAGTAAATATATAAAAGCGGAAGAGCAGGAAAGAAATGAGTTCTTAAAGAGACATTTCTAATACAAACAAATATGCATCAGCTAAATAAGCATGCTAAAAAGTGATTTCAGCCTGGAAATTTGGAAACATCTCACGAGCAAATTGCACAACATAGAAAAATTTTAAAATAAAAGGGAGGACGTTAACTGCATGCTATAGATCTAGAATTAGAACATTCCTCCAGCCATTCAATCAAAAAAAATAAATCAATTAAGACCCAGCCTCCACCTAATCTTGCATGAAACAGAAAACACAAGTAAAACTTCAGATCAACACTATTTTTTTCTTACTGAAATGCACTTGAAAACCAAGATCTTCAGAGAGTTCCTTTTCTTTTTATGAGAGTTGATCAACTAAACAAGAGAAAATAGCACAGATACTTATTTGAAGAGGAAAACAGCTGTAACCCAGTTATTAGCACCAGAGTTTAGCAATAAGCCAAATAGTCAACAAAGAGAATGAAGTACGGCACAAATCACTCAACAAACAGAACATACACATGGCTGCAGAAATGACCACTCTAAGCAGTTTTAGGAAAAAAACAAGACAGTAATTGGTTGGCAAGCATCTTCAAGTATTGATGAAAAAGACAACATGCAATTCAGTGGTTTCTTCAGTTTGAACTGAATAATTAGACAATTAGTAATTACACAAATTTTACAGTGAAAAAAATGGAAACAAAACAGTAGAACATAAATGAAAGGCCAACAATGTCTCTTAAAGTATAGATCTCAGATATAATGGCATGAAAATATAATACCAGTACTAGAAAACTCAAAAATCTTAGTTTGTTTAATTGTTTGGCATTCAAGAAAATGTAGGAAGACAGGAAAGCTTATCCTCCAGTTAAATCGAAGCCAATGGAACAAAACGCCTCACTTCTGTTGAAATTTTAACTCAAAAAGCTCCAGTTAGCAAGACGAAAGAAGTTCAGAAAAATAGACAACCAAAAACCGAAGGAGAATGGAGAATCAGTGCCGTTTCGGCTCACTGGATTACTTCAGTCCATTTTCTCGGCAGCCAAACAGGCTAACAAGTAGAGCAAAAATCAACGAACAGTACCAAAACACCAGATATCATAGAGAGAAATAGAACCGGAGAGATTACCTGAAGCTGGAAATGGCGGAGATTGGATTCGGAACCGTGGATAGTCGGTCCGAACCGGAGGAGAGTGGAGCAGTGAAGCGTTACAAGCAGCCCACTGAAATACTGAGGAAGCGGTGAGAGACACGGGAGGTTGTCTTGTCTGGTTCCCTGATTTTTTATTTTGGTTAAATCCCCAATTTAATCCCTCAACTATTATATAGTCCTCAATTTAATTTTTATACTAAAACAAATTCTAGTTTAATCTCTGAAATTTCTAAATATAATCTAAAGTTGGTCTTTTCATTAAAAAAAGATTGATATATCTCATTAGTAACATGACACATGATTATTAAGTAATGATTTTTTGTAAAATCAAATTTAAAAACTTTAATGATCAAATTATAGTTTTTTTTTATATTGATTACACAATGAGAGATAATTATTTTTCATCATTTATCTCACTCCATTTACATGTCATGTAACTCAAACTCAGGATTTTCACTTCTATTAAAAGGAGATAATTATTAAATTATTTAGATTATTAATAATTATAATTTTTTTAGTTAAGGGAATTAATGAACCGACATGTATAATAGTTGAAAAACTAAGTTGAGGATTTAACTTTTTATTTTTGTGCAAAATAAAATAAGATTTTAATGGGAAAAAAAACGCAGCGAATATTAATTTGCGGAGGAAAAAACAAGGAAATTGAAGAAATCGATGACAGATCGAAGACCAACGCCTGTGCTTATGGCGTGGCGTATGGTCTGCGGTGTTGCCCACGGGACTCGCATTACCATGTGCTAACGTACAGGGACAGCATTATTACAATATTTCACCACGTACAAAAATAAATAAATAAATAATAATCTGCACTGATACAGTAACAAAAAGAAAAAATTTTCACACCCGAACTCTGAAAAGTTAAGAGGGAAAATATTTAAAATTGAGTTAATTTTTTTAAAAGAATTAAAATATTATATTTTTAGATTAAATTTGAGTTTATGTTTTTATTATGGTATTTAAATGAAATAAAATAATTTTAAGTGATTTATTCTTTTAATTATTTACAGATATAATTGATAAATATTAATTTTTATTTATAATACTACATAAAATTTTAAGTTTATATGATATATTATTAAGTAAATTAATATATAATATTATAAATAAAATTTAATTATAAATTTATAATATTACATTTTATGACTT